CTGGCAGTTTGTTTCTTGTTAGAAGATGTTGAGAGCATGAACTCAGATCTTGATAGAAACAGCAGATAAAAACAAATTGGTGTCCAAGTCCAAATGCCTGGAAATGGAGCAAGTCAAGCATCAGGCTGAACAAGTGGAACAAGACCAAAACTTCCCGACAAACTTGTTTCTGAAACACAAGAGTCCAAAAATATCAGTGAGGCCTGAGAACTGCCAGCGAGCAAAGGCTAGCAGAGATTAGCACAGACTAGCAGAGATTAGCACAGGCTCGCAGAGATTAGCACAGACTAGCAGAGATTAGCACAGACTAGCAGAGATTAGCACAGACTAGCAGAGATTAGCAAAGGCTAGCAGAGATTAGCACAGACTAGCAAAGGTTAGCTTCGGAAAGCATTAAACAGGGACAACAGCCTTTCACAGGTTTTATTTTCCCAGTGTGGATCAGCTGAGGCCGGTCAGACTGATCCACAGTCACATCCTGACCAACATGGACCGAAGGAAGAATCCATTCAAATCAACCAGGCTGCAGTTTGACACAGAGACAGACATCTTCACCTGAGCTCTGATCTAACCCATCACTACATCTGGAGGAAAAACTGCAGCTTGGTGGTGGCAGCATCATGCTGTGGGGCTGTTCTGACGGCATCATGAGGAAATATGGCAGCAAACACTTCAGTAGGAAGCTAAAGTTCTGACCCGGATTGGTCCAGATGGACCTTCAGCTTCCAGACCAACTGGAGACAAAATGGCTGAAGGACAACAGAGTCCATGTTTGGTTTGTCACCAAGTCCTGACCTTTGACCTCAGCCCTGTGGACACGTTAGAGTGAGGTGACCAGCAGACCCAGTTCCACCGGTTCTGTCTGGAGGAATGGACCAGAACTCCAGAAACTGGGAGACGTTTGTTCTTTTCATTCAGGGTAAACATCTGGTTTCATCTGGATGGATCTTCATCAGGGTTCTTCTCATCTTCCTCCAGCCAATTAGAGCCGTTGGATTCTCCCAACAGGAAGTACGGCTGGTGACAGGAAGTGGGCGGAGCCTGTAGAGAAGCTAAAACCCAGTTTCCCTTAAAAACAGTCACGTGTGAGTGGAGGATCTCTGAAGTGTTGACATGTTAAAACTAACAGACACACACACACTTCTCTCTGCTCTGCCATATAAGGACACACACACTCACACACACACACACACACACACACACCCAGTTCACACTGAAGCTGCAGCGAAACGAGAACCACTTCCTCTTCACTGTCTCGCTTCAAGCTCTTTCAGCTTGACTCAGAAAACGGGTTCACCGTTACTGAGGAAGTGTGTGTGTGTGTGTGTGTGTGTGTGTGTGTGTGTGTGTGTGTGTGTGTGTGTGTGTGTGTGTGAGAGAGAGACTTTCATCTCCTCTGCAGGTTCTGCTTTAACCTCCATAAATGGAAACTGCTGCAGTCAGACGAGCGCTGACTGGTTCCATCCAGAAACTGGATGACAGAACAAATCGGATCAGAACCGCTGAGGCTGTTCAAATCCTCAACATGGATCAGAACCAGAACAGAACCACCCGGTCCAGTAGGCAGCGTTCCTGCAGAGCGGGTTGTGACCCCGGGTCATGGATCCCAACTCGGATCTTTCATCCTGCCAGGAACCAGAAATCAGTTTAAAACCAGACAGCAGCTACAACACTGTCCAACACATCAGAACCAGTTGCTGCAGACTGGGTTCACTGGTGGGGTCCCACAGCAGACTGGGTTCGCTGGTGGGGTCCCACAGCAGACTGGGTTCACTGGTGGGGTCTCACAGCAGACTGGGTTCGCTGGTGGGGTCCCACAGCAGACTGGGTTCGCTGGAGTCAGTCAGGACTCTTGCAGTGATAAAACATGAATCCAGATAAATAATCTGGATTAAGATAATCTAAATGATGATAGTCCTCCAATGGTGATCAGGATCTGGAATACAAGCCAAACTTGTTGCTGGATGTGGGAACAGAGTTCATTGTTTCAATGTTTCAGCCTCAGAGTGATGAAGGTTTTATCAGCTGCTGCAGATTCAACAGAACTTCAGACTCCTGAGTGTTTAAAACAAACCTGGGAACCAAAGCAGAGGAGGCCTCCAGCTTTTCAAAATAAAAGTTTACTGGCAGCACAACACCATCCATCCATCCATCCATCCATCCATCCATCCATCCATCCATCCACCCATCCATTTTCTAACACCCTCATGCCTAGTGGGGTCGGCAG